AGATTAAAAGGAACATTTTCAGCAAAGATATATTGTATTCAATGCACAGAAGCCACCAAAGAGAAAAATGTTATCAGATGACCTGGTGATATAAATGTTATTAGATGACCAATTGATGAGTAGGTATTGACACACACAAATGATTCTGGAGGTGGAGTGAAAATTCTGTTCACATAGAAGTGAAGAAGTAATTGAGCGGTTGATCCGGGCGTGGCAGCTCACATCTGTAATCCTAGGACTTTGGGAGACTGAGGTGGGTGATCACCTAAGGTCAGGAGTTCGAGACCAGCCTGGCCAACATGTGAAACCCTATCTCTACTAAAAATAGGCCAGGCATGGTGGTGGGTGCCTATAATCCCAGCTACTCAGAAGGCTGAGGCAGGAGAATCACTTGAACCCAGGAGGCAGAGGTTGCAGTGAACCAAGGTCATGCCACTGCCCTCTATCTGGGCAACAGAGTAAGACTCCATCTCAAAAAAAAAAAAAGTAATTGAGTGGTTGAACAGATCTTGATAATCATGACCTTGTAATTGAATTATATAAGACAGTTGTACAGTTGCATCCTGATAGATAAAATAAGGAAATAAAACTTGAAATTAGAAGCTGATAAGCACATCACCAAACACTGGACATTTACGTTACACTACATTTATTAAAAATTATTTTTCTTCAATAATAAATTATCCTTAGCTTACTGTAACTTTTTACTTTGTAAGATTTTTAATTTTTTTAACTTTTTGACTCTTTTGTAATACCACTTAGCATAAAATACATTATGCAGCTGTACAAAAATAGTTTTTCCTTATATTCTTATTCTATAAGCTTTATTCTATGAAAAGATTTTTTTTACTTTTAAAATTTTTTGGTAAGAATGAAGACACACACACATACACACGCACACACATACACACACACGCACACACGCCTAGGCTTACAGAGGGTCAGGATCATCATTATTGCTGTCTTTCACCTCCACATCTTGTCCCACTTGAAGGCCTTCAGGGGCAGTAGCAGTCACAGAGCTGTCATCTCCTGTAACAGTGCCTTCTGCCATAATCCCTCTTGAAGGACCTGCCTGGGGTTGTTTCACAATGAGTCTTTTTCTTTTGTAAATGGAGCAAACTTGAAAATAATTACAAAAAGTATAGTATAGTAAATATACAAACCAGTAACATTTATTATTATCAAGTATTATGTACTGTCCATAATTGTATGTGCTGTACTTTTATATGGCTGGTATTGCAGTAGGTTTTTTTACATCAGCATCACCACAAACATGTGAGTAATGCCTGCATGTAGACCTTATGATAGCTACATCACTAGGATGTGGGAATTTTTCATTTCCATTTTAATTTTATGGGACCATTGTCCTATATGTGGTGTGTTGTTGACTGAAACAACATTACATGGTACATGAGTGTGTTGATGTATCTGTTTCTCAACATAGGCCTCTGTGTTAGTTCTTTTTCAGGCTGCTGATAAAGACATACACAAAATTGGGAACAAAAAGAGGTTTAATTGGACTTACAGTTCCATAAGAGTGGAGATGCCTCACAATCATGGCATGAGGCAAAAGGCACTTTTTATGGTGGTTGCAAGAGAAGAATGAGGACAAAGCAAAAGTGGAAACCCCTGATAGTGACTGTCAGGGGTTATATAATTTACATTAGTTATGATAGTTACATTAGTAACTAGTAACATATGATAGTTACATTAGTAATTAGATAGAAACCTGTCAAATCTAATGACACTTTTTCACTATCACAAGAATAGCATGGGAAAGTCCAGCCTCTGTGATTCAGTTACCTCTCCCTGGGTGTGGGAATTCTGGTAGATACAATTCAAGTTGAGATTTGGGTGAGGACACAGCCAAACTGTATCAATTTTTTGCTTGTGTTTTGAGGCTGTGAAATACATACAGAATATTTCATGATTGGTATATACAGTTGATTATCATTCATGGGTTCTGTATTTGCAAATATGCCTGTGCCTCCTTGATAACATTTATTTGTAACCTCAAAATCAATACTTACAGTGCTTTTGTGGTCACTGGTAGACATGTGGAGAGTGAGTCTCCCAACGTGCATGTTGCCACCTCAGATCAAACAAGGCCGTACTCTCCCGTCTTGTTTTAGCTCTCATGCTGTAAACAAGTATTCTTTTCATGATCTATTTAGTGCCTGAATGCCAATCTCTGTAGTTTCTGCTTTATCTTTCCTGCATTTTTTATGTATGAAGTAGATATATACATATGAATTTCTTTTATATTTTCTTCTTTATTATATAGAGGGTGGCATACTATAGCTTCTCTTGTACTTTTTATTTTTTTTAAGACAGAGTCTCATTCTGTCACCCAGGTTAGAGTGCAATGGCACGATCATGATAATACTCACTGCAGCCTCAAACTCCTTGCCTCAGGGGGTCCTCCTGTTTTCGCCTCCTGAGTAGCTGGGACTACAGGCATGTGGCCACCATATCTGGCTGATTTTTAAATGTTTTGAAGAGATGGGATTTTGCTATATTGTCCATGTTGGTCTTAAACTCCTGGCCTCAAACGATCCTCCTGCCTTGGCCTCCTGAAGCACTGGGATTGCATTCGTGAGCCATTGTGCCCAGCCATACTTTGCTTTTTTAATCTAAAAACATATCCTGGAAATCACTCCAAATCACTTTGTCGCAATCTTTCTCATCCTTGTGCTTTATTATGTGGATGTATCACAGCATAGCCTCTCTCCTGTGTATGGTCATTTACATTGTTCCTAATATTTTACCATTACACACATGGTACAGCCTTGTGCATGTTTATTTTCATATTGTTGGAGGTGTATCTTCAGGGTAGATTCCTGGAAGTGGGCCAAATTGAATGTGTGTTTTTTTTGTTTTTGTTTTTGTTTTTTTACTGAGACGGAGTTTTGCTCTTGTTACCCAGGCTGAAGTGCAATGGCGCGATCTCGGCTCACTGCAACCTCCACCTCCTGGGTTCAGGCAATTCTTCTCCTCAGCCTCCTGAGTAGCTGGGATTACAGGCACGTGCCACCATGCCCAGCTAATTTTTTGTATTTTTAGTAGAGACGGGGTTTCACCATATTGACCAGGATGGTCTCAATCTCTTGACCTCGTGATCCACCCGCCTCAGCCTCCTGAATGTGTATTTTTGTCAGTTTGACCAAATTTTTTTTGCTATGGAAATAATAATAATAATAATTGTTATTATTATTATCATCATCATCGAGATGGAGTTTTGCTCTGTTGCCCAGGCTAGAGTGTAGTGGCGTGATCTTGGCTCACTGCAGCCTCCACCTCCCTGGTTCAAGTGATTCTCCTGCCTTAGCCTCCAGAGTAGTGGTTTACAGGTGCCTACCACCACGCCTGGCAAATTTTTGTATTTTAGTAGAGACAAGGTTTCACCATGTTGGCCAGGCTGGTCTTGAACTTTTGACCTCAGGTGATCTGTCTGCTTCGGCCTCCCAAAGTGCTGGGATTACAGGCATGAGCCACCACCCCTGGCCTATTTTCATTTTTGTATGGTCAAATTTATCCATCTTTTATTATCTCTGAATTTTTAGTCATTAGTTATAAGTTCTTACCTATACCAATTTTGACCTACAGTAGGCTTAAGAACTCATTCATGTTTTCTTCTAGAACTTGTGTGGTTTTATCTTTTTTCATTTAGATCCCTCATTCTTTTGTTGTTTATTGTACATTGTGTGAGATATGGATCTAATTTTATCTTTTCTTTAAAAATGGCAACCACTTGTCCCAGAGCTATTTATTTAAAAGTTCATCATTATTATTACTGTGATTTGAGATGTCACCTTTATCATATAACAGGTTTTTATAAGTACTTTTATACCATATCTGTAGTATAAACTCCACTGGTATATTTATCTGCTTAAGGGCCAGTACCACTGTTTTGATTATAGATGCTTTATAGTATGTTTTAACATCTGGCAAAAGTAGTCTGCCCTCATAATGTCTCTTTTTAGTGTTTTCCTGGCTATTCTTGGATGTTCATTTTTCCATATTAATTTTAGGGTCAACTTGTCTAACTCCATAAGATAGTTTGTATTTTTCTTGGAATTGCAATGATTTATAAGTTAAATTAGGGAGAATAGTAATCCTTTAATGTTATTTTATTCTATCCAAGAACAGGGGTTGCCTTTCCATTATTTCATGTCTACTTTTATGTCTTAAAGGGGCATTTAAAATTTTTCCTTGTATGGATTTTGCACATTTCTTGTTAAATTTATTCCTATGTCTTTAGTCCTCTTTGTTGCTGTTACAAATGGGGATTTTTCTCCATGATGTTCTGTTGATTGTTTCTGCATAGAAGGTCTATTTTTTTTTTTTTTAAAGATGGGATCTCCCTATGTTGCCCAGGTTGGCCTTGAACTCCTGCGCTCGAGTGGGCCTTCTGCCTTAGCTTCCTGAGTAGCTGGGACCCTATGCATGCCACTGTGCCCCAGAGCTATTGATTTTATATGTTAATTTTATATCCTGCCACTTTACTGAATTATTTTATTATTTGAATTAGTTTTATCATTGATTTTTGGGGGCGTTACATCTTTACCCATTCTTAACCCTCTAATTGAAGTGTAATCCCATTGACTAATACCCTTACACCAGTTTTGAATAGTAGCAGAAATAGTAAACATTCTTGCCTTGTTCCTGGTCTTAGTGGAAATGCCTTTAGTGTTTCAGAATTAAATAAAATACAGGTTTTAGGATTAATATATATGTGAGTGGCTTTCTGAGAGAGTTCTAGATATTTAGATAGAACATGAGAACAGATTAGAGAGAGATTTCTATAAAGGCAACTCTATACTCTATGAAATTCTAGGGCAATAAGTATATCACATTCAAAAGCTAGAAGGTTTCATTTTCAATTTGGGAGTAGCAATGAGATATGCCATTATAGCAAGTCATTTGAATTTATATAAATTGTGTTTATGCATTGTGAAGGTCACAAAGAAAATTTTATCCTTGAATTTGTCTTGTAGTGTGTGCTGTATTTATGGAGTTTAAAGATTAATCATCCCAAAACATTGTTTCTGCTTCGGGGAAATCATGAATGCAGGCATCTTACAGACTATTTCACCTTCAAACAGGAATGTAAGTATAATCTCTTCTCCAGAACCTTTTTAGTTACTTTTTAACCTGTCCTAAAGTAAATCAAACATAAAGAGAAAAGAAACTAATGGAATTCAAATGCTTCCTGTCCTTTTGTTTGTTGTAATTTTTTTCACCTGATAAGAACTAAGATTCTGTCTTCTAAGACATTTATTTTGAATATGACTTTTGGGTTCTCCCTTATTTATAAAATAATTAATTTGAGAATTTGAAAAGCATAGAGAAGTCTAAAGAAGATAAAAGTGTCCATAATCATGGCACCTAGAGGTAATCCTTGTTATCATACTGTTTGAAATATGGTCTTCTATTCTTTTTTTATGTATATATAAAACCTATTATGAAATAGTTCAGGTATATATATCTGTATATATTTTAAAAATAAAATTGGGCTCATATGTACTGTTTAATAAATTTCTGTTTCATCTAATATAGTAGCATTTTTTCCATATCGTTAAGTATTTTTGAAACTATGATTTTTTTATTGTTTTGTTTTTTGTTTTTTTTTTAATTTTTATTTGGCACCAGATGGCCAAGAAACCATTGTTTTTAAGTGTTATTTTAATTTTTTTAAGTAATCCGTTTTACGAATGCACAATCATATATGTAGCCGATTTAGTAACAGTTGTAGGATATTTAGGTTGTTTCTAACTGTAAGTACTACTGTAATGGTAAAAATAGGTTTAATATAAAACTAGAATTATTGGCCAGATGCGGTTGCTCACGCTTGTAATCCCAGCACTTTGGGAGGCTGAGGCAGGTGGATCACAAGGTCAGGAGTTCAAAACCAGCCTAGCCAACATGGTGACACCCCATCTCTACTCAGAATACAAAAATTAGCTGGGTGTAGTGGTGCAAACCAGTAATCCCAGCTACTCAGGAGGCTGAGGTAGGAGAATGGCTTGAACCCAAGAGGTGGAAGTTGCGGTGAGCCGAGATCACACCACTGCACTCCAGTCTAGGCAACACAGCGAGACTCCATTTCAAAATTAAAAAAAAAAAAAAAAAAGGAAAAAAAAGTAGAATTATTTAGAAAGTCAAAACATTACTAGCTGATTTAAAAACAAATAACATAGTAGGAGGCTAAGGCTGGACGATCCCTTCAGCCCAGGAACTGTAGAACAGCCTTGGCAATATAGCAAGACTCCATCTCAAAAAAACAAACTCATAGATTTATTTGACCAGAATCTGCTACTCATAATTGGCTCCTCACTAACAGACAGTATGCTGGAGATTATGTTGGGGATGTTTGGGAGATCCTGCCCAGGACATTTGCATTTTTAGTTCTTCTTTCCCCAGATACCTATTTGCTTATAAGATATACATTCTATTTCATTCATGTCATTTCTTCAGAGATTTTCTCCTTTGGTTGCTTTTCTAAATAATAATCTCATCATTTTACCCTCATACTCTGTTTTTTTTTCATTGTGTTTATCTATACCTGTGATTTATATATATTTATTTTTTTACTGTCTTTCTCTGCCACCAGCTCCATGATAGCAGGGAAATGTTTTGTTCACTGTTGTTTTCCCCAGCACTCAAAACAGTATCTAGTTGCTCATAGGAGTTGCTTAATAAATATTGGTTGAGTTCATTTGAATGAATGAGCATCTATGATTTGTATCTTTAGAACAAACTCTCAAAAAAGAATTTCTGGGTTAGAGGGCAGGTACATTTTAAAGACTTTTGACATACTCTAAGTCCTCCAGAAAATATGTATATTGGGTTATACTCCAAAAATTTTTTTTTATTTTTGTAATGAAAATACTGAAATAAACAAAAGCAAAATTGTACCTGTTTTTATTTCTAAAATGTTAGGATATTTTCTATAAAATAAGGAAGGTAAACTAAATATCTTGGGTCCCATCTGGCTCTAAAATCTACCCGTCTTAAGGAATCCTAAATATGTAAATATACTTCAGTGTTCATAGGGTTGATATTTTGATGATGGACTTCACTTTATATCTTATTCAGATTTTTCTGCAGATTATTATCTTAGAAGAATATATTATAAAATATTTAAACTTTTATTTCAAGAATAATTTTCAACGTTAAAAAAATTTTAAATTTGTTTTCAGAGACTTGGACTTTATCCAACCGCCCACAGATCCCTGTACTGATAGGTAGATTGCAATTTGTAGTGTTTTATATGCTCGTATGAATTCTTGCTATCTGTAGCTTTCTACATTGGAGATAGTAGTTGTAATGACAACCTCCCTCCTAGCAGAGCCTCCAAGAAAAGGTCTTTATTATTAAAATAAATTTTAGAGGATAAGCACTTCTTAAAAATTCTGTCAAAAAAGTCAGCTACAAGCGGGCGAGATACAGATCCTTCCAGCCCTTGGTGATTTACTGGAATAAACACTTTAAATCAGCAGCTAATTGCCAGGAAGTTTTAAATCTACTGTTGGCGGGTGTTTAAATTGCTGTAGGCTGAGCGAGGTGGCTCATGTCTGTAATCCTAGTACTTTTGGAGGCCGAGGTTGGCGGATCACTTGAACCCAAGAGTTCAAGACCAGCCTGGGCAACATGGTGAAACCCCAGCTCTACAAAAAAAAACCACACACACAAAATGAGCTGTGCATGGAGGCACTCACCTGTAGTCCGAGCTACTCAGGAGGCTGAGTTGGGAGGATCACCTGAGCCTGGGAGTTTGAGGCTATAGCGAGCCATGATCACCACTGCTCTCCAGCCTGGGAGACAGAGTGAGACCCTGTCTCAACAACAACAACAACTACAAAAAAGGTGTAATGTATTCGAAAAGCAATTTTGTATATATATAAAAATTTTAAGTGCATATCCCCATTTTTTTTTTTTTTGAGACAGAGTTTTGTTCTTGTTACCCAGGCTGGAGGAGTGCAATGGCACGATCTCGGCTCTCCACAACCTCCGCCTCCTGGGTTCAGGCAATTCTCCTGCCTCAGCCTCCTGGGTAGCCGGGATTACAGGCACGCGCCACCATGCCCAGCTGATTTTTTTGTATTTTTAGTAGAGATGGGGTTTCACCATGTTGACCAGGATGGTCTCGATCTCTTGATCCACCCGCCTCGGCCTCCCAAAGTGCTGGGGTTACAGGCATGAGCCACCACACCCGGCCGCATATCCGCATTTTAAGTTTGACTGTGATCTGGCAGTCACACTTGTAGGAATTTATTATGCAGATTGTATTAACTTTTTAAATGCTGCATTAAAAATTATCACAAATTTAGTGGCTTAAAAGAGCACATTTATTATCTCATAGTTATTAAAGGTCAGAAGTCCAGGCACAATGTGGCTAGATTCTCTGTACAGGATCTCACTGAGTTGAAATCAAGGCGTTGCCAGGTTTTCAGTTCTCATCTGGGGCTTGGGGTCTTTTTCCAAGGTCACTTGTTGGCAGTCCTTGTAACTGTAGGATTACGGTCCCTGTTGTCCTGTTAGCTGTTGACCAAGAATGGCTCTCAGCTTCTGGATGTTGTTTGCGGTTCTTTAACATGTCACCTCCAGTGGTAGTTCCCAATATGAATATTTTCTTTTTTTTTTGATGTAGTCCTGCTCTCTCACCCTGGCTGGAGTGCAATGGCATGATCTCGGCTCACTGCAAACTCCAGCTCCTGGGTTCAAGCAATTCTCCCGCCTCAGCTTCCCGAGTAGCTGGGATTACAGGCACCTGCCATCATGCCTGGCTAATTTTTGTATTTTTGTAGAGACAGGGTTTCACCATGTTGGTCAGGCTGGTCTTGAACTCCTGACCTCAGGTAATCTACCTGCCTCAGCCTCCCAAAGTGCTGGGATTACAGGTGTGAGCCACCACACCCAGTCTGAATGTTTGCTTTTTTCCAGGCTGGCCTGAGTGTAGCTCTCTGACTTTCTCTTTTGTGATTGGCTAGCTGCTCACTCTGTTTTCAAAAGGCTCACCTTAGGTCAGGCATGGTGGCTCATGCCTGTAATTTCAGCACATTGGGAGGCCAAAGGGGAGAGGATCACTTGAGGCCAGTAGTTCAAGACCAGCCTGGGCAACATAGTGAGACCTTGTCTCTACCAAAAAGAAAATAAAAAAAAAATAGAATCAATCAGCCTGCATGGTGGTGCAAGCCTGTAGTCCCAGCTACTTGGTAAGCTGAGCCTGGGAGTTTGAGGTTATAGTGGGCTCTGATTGTGCCACTGTACTCTGGCGTGGGTGACAGAGTGAGACCCTTTCCCTAAAAATAAGTAAGTAAGTAAGTAAGTAAGTAAATAAATGGTTCACCTGATTAGGTGAAGATATCTTTCTTTTGTCCCGTATAATGGGACAAAATAATGGAGTCTCATTATCATACTTACAGTTTCCATCCACCAAAAGAGGAGTGGATTATACATACAAAGATGTAGGTCAATGCAGGTCATTTTAGAAATTGTCTACCACACATATATACTCACACAGAGAATATGGATGCTTAAGGATGTTCAGTGCAGTGTCAATTATAACAGCAACAGCAGTAAAAAGATAATCTAAATGTCAACAAGACACTAATGAAGTAAGTGATAATGTGCTTTTTAACAACGGAATGCTAGGCAGCTGTTGAAAGACCAAGGTGGCCAGGTGCGTGGCTTATGCCCGTAATCCCAACACTTTGGGAGGCCGAGATGGGGGCATTGCTTGAGCCCAGGAGTTCAAGACCAGCCTGGGCAACATAGTAAGACCCTTTCTCTACAGAAAATTTGAAAATTAGCTGAGTGTGGTAGCATGTGCCTGTAGTTCCAGCTACTTGGGAGGCTGAGGCAGGAGGATTACATGAGCCCAGGATTCTAGGCTGCAGTGAGCTGTAATCACCACACTCCAGCCTGGGTGACAGAGCAAGACTCTGTCTCTGAAAGCAAAAGAAAGATAGGCAGACCAAGATATACCCATAATATGTACTGATATGGAGAGATGCTAAGATATTTTGTAAGCCATTTGCAGAGCATGTAAATGGCCATCTCCTTTGTAAATTAAAATATTTAATGTACAAAAGAAATCATTAACA